ACTTTTTCACACCACTGTATATGTTTTCATGTGTCCAGATGTTTCTCTTCCCTCTGCATATGTAAATGTTAGGGCACAGAAAGGAAGAGGAGATCCTCTGTTTGTGTCCTCTTGCTGTGGATGAGCTTGAGAATCGCTGCTCTGGACACACAGTAGCCCACTGTAGCCACAGCCTCTTGATGCTTGAGACCATCAGTGTGTGTCTGTGTGTATGTGCGTGTGAAAGAGAGGAGATGAGATAAGTGGAGTCTGCCGCAGGATGGGGAACCAGATCAGAGCGCCTTTGTCCAGAGAACTGACATCTTATTGTTCTGATGGGACCAAGAGGCAACAGCATGTACACACACACAAAGTGTTGACTTTGTCTGTTTTTATGTCTCTTTCAGGCTAATATTGGTCATATGGACACAGCCAAGGACATGTGGAAGATGGTCATGGGGAACTTAGCCCTTATCCAGGTAAATGAATCACAATCCACTTCTGTTGAACTGTGATTTTGCGTTCATTCATCTTGGATATGAGGAGGCACAGCTACTAGAAAAGATTTGTTTCTTTCATTTGGCAGCACTTTTATCACAGCAGCATTTTCCTTGTCCAGAATATTTATCATTTATCATACATGTGCAAATAAATAAAATGGCGTACCCACTTTCCTCCAACTCTTAGCCTGATAAATGAAATCAAATTTATCATTTAATAAATGGCATAGAAATGAAGCTGCTGCCAACCCTGGGAACAGTAGAGTCTCATCATTGCACTGTAACGACAGTGAACATAATGAGTGGTCATTACTGGGCACACCAGTGGTGTGTTCTACTCCTGAACGCTAGCTCTGATCACAAAGTGGTATAAATGAAAGTTCCTTATTATAGTTCATGCACATGATTTATGATTCACCAGGTGTTTCCATGAAATTGACTGCTCGAACCACACCATCAGAATGATTAAGGTGCAGGTGATTCCAACCCTATTCACAGAGATGTCAATAAATCACAGACTTAGCCAATAACAAGCTAACAACTTTAAAGAAGTGAAGTGTTTTCTGTAGTCCGTGATGTTAAATAAGTGACTGTACTGTTGGTAAAACTGTATGTATATCAGACATGTAAGCTTCAGGAGTAAATGAAAGCTCCTCAAATGCAACATGATAATCTCATACACAGCTTAGGTTTACATGTTAACTGTTATCAATAGGAACATGAACCATTTTTAATGTGTGTATGTGTTCAGGTCCAGGCCACAGTGGTGGGCTTCCTGGCCTCCATTGCTGCTGTGATCTTCGGCTGGATCCCAGAGGGACACTTCAGGCTGGGTAATGCGGTCCTGCTCTGTGCATCCAGCGTGGCCACTGCCTTCATCGCCTCTCTGCTGCTAGGTATGACCACACAGGGTGTGAGGGATATTGACAGTGTAAACTGCTATTCCTCAGCCATGCAAGGGATTTATTTGACACCAGTTCTGCCAGTGCTAAAGTTAGCAAGCTCTGAACTTAGGTTAGCTGCTGTTACAACTAAATGCCTCCTCCGTAATATATCTGACTGAACTCCTGGATGGTTACTTATACAGCTAGGTTAGATTAAGTGGTATTGTACTGTTATACATACAGGATAGCAAATTTCATTTACTGTTAAGGAGAATTAACAGCTACCCCTAACCTTAATGTGAACTTTATAGAAGCTTTTCAGCACAAGCTTTACTTTTATTGTCATTGTAATATTGTGACA